GGGAATGGGATAAGTGGATTAAAGATGCCAAGAGGGAATCTGTACAGAGCTGGTATTCGTAGGGAGAAAAACCTACTGACATTTTAGCTGTCCCAGGGTGTTGGAGAGGCTAGAATCCCAATGAGAATAACAGAAGGGTGGGAAAATAAGTTCAAGATTATTCTAGCTTTCTTCTCAAAACATTTGCAAAAAGCTAAAGTTAAACCGGATGGAAGTCTGAGAAGAGCAGGAAGCCCAGAAGAATGAAGCAATGCTGTGGCAGTCTTATCAAGGTGAAGAAACTCTTATCCATATAGAGTTCAGTTCCCTATAGAGGGGAAGAACTCCAGGCTCTCAACTGGGAAAGCTTAGGGAGTTATGTCCCAGGGATGGTCGTGAACCAGAAGTAAGATTGAATTTTGCTAAAACAACCTGGAGTCATGTCAGTCCCTGACTAGACTAAGGTGATCAGCCTCATCTATGTGCTGAAGGGGACTAGAATGTGCCACACCAAAATATACCATTCTGGCATAAGGATTATTTTTGGCTGAAAGCAACTGAGGAGCAGCAGATAAAGGAAAAGCTCCCAAAACAGAACACACATTTCCCCTTTGTAAAAGTGTCATCTCACTTACTAGGAAGAGGAGGGCAATTCTTATTATCTAAGTTGATCTGAATCTGTAAAACAAACCTTACTAAACAACTCTTACTTACCATGTAACAAAACTGTGGGAAGCAGTTAAAATTATGCTTAGATAGCAACTTCACCTTAAATGCTCTTAACAGAAAAGAAGAAAGGCTGAAGGTAAATAATCTAAATATCTATTAAGAAATTACAAAAAGAACGGTAAATCTAAAGAAAATATAAAAAGGGAAATTAGAGTATAAATTGATAAAACAAAGAAAATGTACAAAAAAAAAATCAACACAACTGAAGGCTGGTTCTTTGAAAAGACTAAAAGAGTACAGATCTCTCAAAAGACTAATAAGAAAACCAGAAAAATTTAAATTTAAAAGGGACTAAAAAACCCAAACTACAGATCTTAAAGATATTAAATGGAAAATAGGACAAGTGTTAGGACCAATTTAAATTAATATAATTAAAAATTTAGATAAAACTAGCAAATTCCTAAGAAAAAATCATACGTTATTCAAAGGGAAACAAGAAACGAAAAATCTGAATACTCTGATATCTATTAAAGAAATTTAATTGGTAAAAAATGTTCCCATAAAGAAATCTTCAGGCCCAAATGGCTACAACTGGAGAATTCTTCCAAATATTTAAGAGAGCAATAATACATGGAAATTTCCAGAAAACAGAATATACTTGCCAATTTAATTAATGAGTCCTCCATAATCTTAATACTAAAACTCCAAAAAGCCATTATAAGAAAATTACCATCTACTCTCTCTCACAAATAAGAGTACACAAATTGAATCAAGCAATGTAGAGAAAGGATACATCGGAACACAACCAAGTTTGGTTTTAGTTTATTTTCTTAATGCAAGAGTAATGTAACATTTGGGGGAAAAAAAATCAACTTATATAAATAACCTTATTAACAGACAAAAGGACAAAAAACCCACATGATCATAGCATCCAGTGCTTTTCCTGAATTCATGAAAATTAAACACCCGTTCATGTTTTAAAACAAAAACCAAGTGGGCCTGTAGTCCCAACTACTCAGGCGACTGAGGCAGGAGGAGGGGGTATCCCCTGAGCAGCCTGGGCAACAAAGTGAGACCGTGTTAAAACAAACAAACACACCTCCAAGCAAACTAGGAATAGAAGGGAGTTTCTTTAATCTGATAAAAGAATATCTATTAAAAATCAACCAAACAAAAACCCAAAGTAAAACATTATACTTTGTGGTGAAATATTGAATGCTTTTCCCCTGAGATCAGGAATGAGACAATTCCTTCTTTTATTTACTACTTCTATTCAACAGTATACTGGAGGTCCTAGCCAGTATAATAAAGAAAGAAAATGAAATAAAAGATATGAAGATTGGGAAATAAGAACCAAAATTGC